GGCATGTGCCCCTATCTGGAATCATTGAACAGTGACCTCCAGATTAATGGGTCGATGCTTAACCACTGAGCCAAGCTGGCTCAACTATAAAGAATGCTTTTTTGATGTTCCGTTAAAATTAATTTCTTTGGTTAGAGTTCAAGTCTTCTGTAAGTGAACTTTTAGTTTCATGCGACCCTATTGTATATTTAGCTTATTTCTACTGTCTTGTTTTCTGACCAATATTGAAATGTAAGAACCCTGTATAAACATCATGGGACACTTATCTAATTTTTAGGTTTTGAAAAAATTTTTAAAACTTAATCACATTTGTTGGTTTTTTTTTTATTAATTTTTACTTTGTAGAGATTTGCTTATACAACATCACATAAAGTGAGGAAACCCTGGGCTATTTGAAGATTACTGACAATTTTTAGTTTTAATGCATTTCTTTATGGTCAATTGTTTGCTTGGAAAGAAGGAAATTCTATTTCTGTGATCATTCAGGAACACTTTAGAATATAGCACATATAATATTGCAGAAAATAGGAAAGCAGAATCTACCTCACCTCATGTGCCCACTCCCCTAAATTTCCTTTTAATTGCAGTAAATTTATTTTTAAATAACTTTTAATATTTGATCAAAGCAATATACGCACATATACTTCTTTAATCGAATAGTATAAAAGGGCACATCTATAATGAAAAGCAGGAAATCCCTGCCCATCCCTCTCAACTCTTGGTTTTCCAGCCCAGAGGCAAGACTTTTACACATGTATGTTTAGTGTTCACCTCAATTTTTAATGATATGCTTTTATTACTATTATTGTTTTGATGACATCAGATATTTTCTGCTTATATCCTGCTATCCCCTCCACTCTCCTTCTCACTTCATATGGTTATATCATTATTTTTAACTCTTCTGTTCGTTATCTTGCTCATTTAAATATAACCACTAAATCTGTCTTATTCTTTTTTAATTCTTTATTTTTCAATTACTATTGACATTCAATATTATATTAGTTCCAGGTGTACAGCATAGTGATTAGACATTATATAAGACTAGTGGCCCATTGCATGAAGATTCATGCAATAGGCCTTCCTTCCCCTGGCTTCCAGCACCAGTTTTCCTCCTGCACCCGGGACCCAGGCCCTTGCTCTGGCTGCCGCCTTCCGCCTTCGCTCCAGATGGAGTCTGCTGCTTTTGCTACTGACTCCGGCTGGAGTCTTCCATCTTCATATTCCCTTCATATTATATGTACACATATAATATCTTAATTTTTAAAAATGAAAAAACAAAACAAAAAAACAAAGAGCTGGCTGGAGACCCTGGGCTCTGGGTACTGTAAGGGACGCTACCCGGACCAAAAGTGGCAGTGGCAGTGGCCCTGTCTGGCATGGCTGTGCGGCTCTTGCACCTGGCTGCAGCCCACAGCTCCTACGGTGCCTTCTGCAAGGGGCTCATGTGCACGCTGCTCACCTTCTTCGACCTGGCCTGGTGGCCTCGCCTCAACTTCCCTTACTTCTACATTGTGGCCTCCATGATTCTCAATGTACACCAGTGGGTACATATTTAGATTAAGTAACTTTGTGGCATTTTCAGGCCCTCCTCACAATGACTAAATTCCATCCATCAGCTCACCTACCCTAAAGCAAAGCAACCAGCTCAGCTTGCACTCACAGACTTCTCGGTTTGTCTTTCCAGTCAGTACCTTATCTACACTAATAAAAGAGAAAAATGCTAATTGACCATACCTTCACTACACCCACAGGCAATCAGAATGAGTATGCAAATTAACCCAACAAAGATGGTGGTTAATTTGCATACACTGAGTGAAGACTGAAAACAACATAGAAGGAAGAGGGAGGGAAAGTGGGAAGCAAGGCGGCTGTGGGAGGGAAAGCATGGGGAGGGTGGGCAGTGGCGGCGGGAGGGAAAGTGTGGGAAGGAGGGTAGAGGGCAGAGGCTGCAGGGAAAGCACAAGTAGGGGCGGGAGAGGTGGTGATTGTGGGAGAAAAGCCTGCTGGAAGCCCTGTTCTTGCAGGAATCTTCCTGCAATGGGCCCCTAGTTATTTAATATAAATGTGCTCTAGAAATCAGTATTTGTGGAAAGGCTTAAAAATAACCCAAAACACCCCAAGATGTAACTATAAGTTGACTGGCAAGGAACTAGATAATTAAAGGAACAGAAAAGAACTTAAAAATCTGAAAAACCTCAGAAATATGAGAAATTCTTGCAACCATGAAACAAAAACAGAATGACCTTTAGGAAATGACAATGAGCACAGGATGTCTTAAATTTTTGAAAGGAAAGAAAAGAAGATTATTAACAACTTAAAGGTCAACTGTGCAAGAATGGTCCAAATAGGAGGCCAAACTACAGGGAATATGAGGCCAAATTTTCAAATTAAAATAATACATAAATATATTTCCAACTGAATGAAGTGAATTCTAAGCAGTAGACAGATGGAGTTAGAATGTGGAGAAATTAATGTCTTGATCTGAAAGTCATACATTTACTTCTTCCTCAAAGAAAACAATGGTAAACAGAAATTACAGGGAAACAAACATTTCAAATTGTACATAGGAAGCATGCTTCACATATGAAACAACTTCAAATGTGGTTTGGTTTGAACAGTTTCCAGGAGTATGAAAAAGGAAAACTGTTTGAATATTGGCACATGAATCAAGACTGCAATCACAGATGAGAAAAACCAGTCATCGCATTGGACTTTGCTATTCAGTGAACAATATTTAAAAGATCACTACAATGGAGTAAATCTCAAGGGAAAACATAATTACAGTTATGGAACAGGCCATAAACAACTTGATAGTATTGGCAGAGGTGAGAAAATGAAATAGTGGTGTTCTGCTCATGAAGTGGGGTGTAGTTCAAAGGACATGGGGGAGATCACTTATCCTTTTATATCTACACTAATAAAAGAGAAAGATGCAAATTGACCATATCTCTGTGACACCCACCAGCCAATCAAGAGGGAATATGTAAATTAGAAGGACAAAGATGGTGATGGCCCCACCGTCCAGCCGCTCCAGGCCCAGAGCAGCTGGGCAGGGCAGGACATCTGCTATGAGAGGGAGGACAGGGGGTGAAGAGATCTACAAGAGCCATAAGATGAAGATGGAAGACTCTGGCCAGAATCTGCAGTGAAGACAAAGACAGCAGACTCTGGCAGGAATATGAAGGGGATATGAAGGGAATATGAAGATGGAAGGGAATATGAAGGGAACTTTTCTAATCCCCAACTATGGGCTAATCTACACTAATAAAAGGGTAAGGCGCAAATTGACCATACCTTCACAACACCCAACAGCCAATCAGAAGTGACTATTCAAATTAACCCAACAAAGATGGTGGGTTAATTTGCATACACAGGCACCGAGCCACTCCAGGCCTCTGGGTAGTGTGGGAAGATGGAAAGGCAGCTCCGAGCTGGAGTGAAGGCAGTGCTGGCAGCCAGGAGAAGGAAGGCTCATTCTTGCATGTATTTTTGTGCATTGAGTCTCTAGTACAAATATACAAAAACATACTAATTTTTTCAACTTTAAAATGTGTGCATTGTTGTAATGATTCAAATGACTTCTTGATTTTGTTTTAGATCTTTTGTATTCTTCTAATGCAAGCATGTCAAATGCGGCCCACAAGATATATTTTTGCAGCCCAGCCAACATAACGGTATGTTAGAAATGTTTTAATAAAAATTTTGTAACTTAATTTTTATAATATCCTGTTATGTTTGCTAATGACTGATTACCATAATTGTGTTGCATTCATTTCTCTTATGCGCCTATGTGCCAGTGCACCATTTCTCTCCACTAATACTAGCAGCAAATATTTCAGCAGCCAATTGCCAGGTCATTAGCAATTGGCTGACTTGTTTGGTGTGTGCAACAGGAAGTATTTTGCTTTTGGAGAACAAGAAAAATAGGTTTATTTGTGTTATATTTATTTTTTTCCATGCTTAATTAGGTAGAGTTTATTTTGGCTGTTTGGGATAGAAACACAAAAGTAACAATGGCACACACAGGATAGTTTGGGGTCAATCTCTTCTGTCCTTTTAAAAAAGTCCAGGGCTGACACCAGCTCTCCCATCATCAGATACCAGTTCTGTATCACCCCCAGAGCGCTGCACCCCTCCTTACTTGTGGAATGTGGCTGCCAGATCTCCAGCCATCACACACCCAAATTCCAGAAAATAAAGGGCATGGGGGAAAAAGGGTATACTCCCTTGCCTTTTACGAATCCTTCTAGAAGTCTCATACAACATTTCCACTTACATTTCATTGGCTCAATTTGGCTGCAAAAGAGGCTGGGAAATTAGTTTTGATCAGGCATAGCTCCAGGGTGGCATCTGCTCACACAAGACACCTTCATGGGACAAAGGGATCCTTTTCACCTTCATCTGTGTCTTGGGTGACTAGCACAGTTCTGGCACACAGTGGCACTCAAAGATACTCTCTGTATGAATAAAAAGGGCCAAACTTGAATAATAAATTATAAGGATCTGGAACTTGTCATCATACACTATGGTGTCATTTGTACAATGTTGTCACAGATGTGAAGTCACAGGCCTGGCACAGTTAAGTCAGTTCTCTATGGTTACCTGGCCTAGGGCCAGTCCAGCATTTGAGGCAAAAAATCAGGGATTGCGGGGGGGGGGGGGGGGGGCGGGGGGGGAACTCAGTAAAAATCCCATTTATGTTTAAACATTTAATTTTAAGCTGATCTCACCACCAAGGCACTAACCACACACCAGAAATTATTCCAGCTATGTGCAAGACAGTTTGAGAGTCTCCTGGCTACCACTCCATATCCACCAAACTCCAAAGATAGTCGCTGATGAATTTCTTGGAGAGCTGGGTTCTATCCAGGTAAATGGGCTGGGTCACGCTGGGACCACAATGGATGGTTTTGATCATCCCTGGTTCACACTCAATTTTACTAATTTGGTGATAAAGCTGAGCCACATACGTAGCTATAGGGACGGTGATTGCTGTGTTGTCAACTTCCTTCTCTTGTGTCCTCAATCTCCTTGAGATCCTCTAGCTCCCTGGTGAGCTGAAGGAAGCTGGCCTTCAGGTGAGTGTCCTCCTCGCTCGCCTTTTGAAGTTTGGCTTCAATCTGCTGCAATTCAGCACCCCCCTGGCATGCCCGCTCCCTGGCATTAAGAAGGCTCTGGGTCACATCCTTCTCTGCTTTGAGGATCTCTCGCAGTTGCTGATTGGCACCCTCTTGCCTCTCCAGGAGCCGCTCCATCATCTGCCTGTAGAGCTGCAGCAGCTGCCACTGCTGTGAAACGTAGTTGGTGCCCAGGAGACTCAGCAGCCCTTGGCACAACCCCTCCATGTCGTGGAAGGCTGCCATGACTCACACGTTACACTCATTAATTTGTGCAGTTATTCAGTGTTTGGTAAGTTAATGTTAAGGAAAAAATATTAATTTTTATTAAAATGTTCTATTATTTTATGTTAAAATGCAAATGAGAATAATTAAATATAATTATTGATATCATATTGGGAAAATTCTATGAAAATTGAAGCTTTTTTTTTTTTGTGGCCCACATAAACTTGAACCTTGTTTATTTGGCCCATGTTAGCCTTTGAGTTTGACATGTTTATTCTAATGGGAAAAGTTACACAAACATAAATTGTCAACCACACGAACAATTAGAACAATGGGAAGCAAATTCCCTGCATAACTTCACATTTCACACCCAACCCTCCACCCTCCACTGTGAAAACAATTCCATTTCCTGCATATATTTTCAGACTTGATGTTGTTATATTGCTGTTGCTGTTATGTCAGTAATATCCACCTGCCTCTCTCTTTTTGACAACTGATTATTATACCTATATATGTTGACTAAAACTTCTCAATAATTAACTAGTCCCCTATTGATGGACATTCTGTATATTTCAATTTTTTTCTATGCCAAAAATTTTAATAAATCTTTATACACATGAATTTACAAGTTGCAGAAGAGTATGAATAATTTGATTCCATCTTTATTTATAAAAACAATCATGTAGATATATATTTAGTGTGCCAGGTCAAAAAGTTTTACTGAAAATACATATGGTCCATCAAAAAAGTTTATAGAGACAGGCTCTATATAACATTGTGTGTTCACCTTGGAATTTTTCCCAATATGATATCCATAATTATGCTTAATTATTCTCATTTGCATTTTTAAAATTATCAGGAAAGCTGAGAAACTTTTCTAAATTTCTTATTTTTTTTAATGTGTTTTTATTGATTTCAGGGAGGAAGGGAGAGGGAGAGTGAGGTAGAAACATCAATGATGATAGAGAATCATTGATCAGCTGTCTCCTGCATGCTCTCCCACTGGGGATTGAGCCCACAACTCAGGCAAGTGCCCTTGACCAGAATCAAACCCAGGACTTTTCAGTCCGCAGGCCAACTCTCTATCTACTGAGCCAAACTGGCTATGGCTAAATTTTTACTCTCTATCTACTGAGCCAAACTGGCTATGGCTAAATTTTTAAATTTTTCAATATTGTTTTACTTATTGTAAAATATTATAAATATATATTATGAATAAAGTAATATTTTTAAGTTCATGTTACATAGAGTAGAAAGAGTTTGTCCACCCAGCCCTAGCAGAACCAAATTTTGAGAACTGAAGTGGAGAAATAGTTTGATGAATGGTACTATCCAGGATAACATAAAGCCAACACTCCTTGAGAATGGTGTGTGGGATACATATTATGTAGGGCAAAATCACAAGACACTGTGGATTAGAGGTTCAAAGTGTGCTGGGAGAAGATCCAAGATGGCTGCTCGGGTAGACATCTAACCGCGGCAGCACACAACAATTTCAATGGAATACAACTAAAATGTAGAGTGGACATTGCCCAGAGCTACAGGTAGTCGACTGACTGAAAATTCTACAACAAGAAGGAAAGAGAAAACCAGAAGGAAAATCAGAGGAGCTGAAAAAAAGCCTAAGGTACGGAGACATGCTGCGCGCCCGCCCGCACACGCGCACGGAGAGGTCGCAGAAGGAGAGGAGGAGAGGGCGGGGAGCTGCCTTTCCTTCCCTAACAGGAAGGAAATAAAACCCCCAGCCTGGACTGAACCCCCGAACCAGCAGCACTGAGCCCCAGTTATGGGCCAGACCCTGGGGACCCAGGCTCCGGTGGGAGGAGACGGGGCTGTGAGGCGGGAAAACGGCGAAAAGCAGGGCCCCCGGAGTCGCGCGCAATGCGCGCGCAGAGGACTGAATGTTGATTCTGATGCTGGGTTGCCCTAGCCGGAAGAAACAAGGCCTCCGGCGGCGCTGAGCCTCAGTCCGGACTGCTCCGAACCCCAGTTCTGGGCTAATCCCTGGAAACCCAGGCTCAGGCAGTGGGAGACGGGGCTGTGAGGTGGAGTCTGGGGAGAGCGGCGAAAGGCCGGGCCCCCGGGACGCGAGCAAACTGCGCACAGAGGACAGTCTGTTGACTCTGATGCTGGACTTCCCTAGCGGGAAGGAGAAAAAAAAAAGCTCCAGGCTGGGGGAACGCGGAGGGGAGCGGAAGCCCCTGCCGGACGCCAGCCAACCGGGCACCAGCAAGGAGGCGGGCCACGGGGCCCCTGGGGGCGTGGGTGCCCCTGAGCCTTTGACCACTGAGCTCGGGCAATGGAGCCAAGGCCGGGGGCTGCTTCCTGGGCGGCACCATCCCAGCAACAGGCTGAAGCAGCCCAGGAGCCCGCGGAGAACAAAGGGGTGCCACAGGCCAACCTGCTGAGCTCCCAGGACAAGGAGGAAGAAACCAAAGAAGTTCTCAATGTGAAGAAATCAAGTGAGAGCAAAAAATAGTAAAATTACTTAAGAAAGAATACAAAGAAGATCTTGAAAAATCAAAGACTAAGGCAGAACTCAACTCACCAGCCAACATTGCAACATAAATGCATTTTAAAAAGAAAAAAGAAAAAAAAAAAGGACAGAATGTTGGAACAGCGGCGGCCAGGCCTAGAGTGGCCAGGCACAAGGCAGTGGCAGCCAGGCCCGGAGCAGCAACGGCCAGGCCCCAGAACAACAGCAGCCAGAACCAGAGCATCAACAGCCAGCACTGGAGTAGCCAGACCTGGGGCAGTGGCAGCCAGGCCTGAGGCGGAGGCGGCCAAGCACAGGGTGGCCAGTCCAGGAACACCCAGATCCGGAGTGGCCGGGCCCGGAGAAGCCGGGCCCAGAGCAGCCGGGGTGGGAGCAGCCAGACCCAGAACAGCAGTAGCCAAGCCCAGAGCATCCAGGTCGGGAGTGGCCAGGCTCGGAGCTGCCAGGCTGGGAGCGGCCAGGCCCGGGGGAGCAGGCGGGTCGGGTGCGGCCAGGCCCGGAGCAGCGGCTGCCAGGCTGGGAGCGGCCAGGCCCTGGGGAGCAGGCGGGTCGGGTGCGGCCAGGCCCGGAGCAGCGGCTACCAGGCTGGGAGCGGCTAGGCCCGGAGCAGCAGCAGCCAAGTCCAGAGCAACTAGGTCGGGAGCGGCAGTGACCAGACCCGAAGCAGCTGGTTGTGGAATGAACCAGAGCAACAGAGGCCAGGCCCTGAGCAGCCAGGCCCGGAACAGCTCACTCCTTGCCCGCCCCTGCCCCACAGCTGCTTCTCAGACATGGCTGGAAACTTTCGTGGGAACTTGAGGGTCTGCTGAATCAAGTGATGAAGGCTTAGATCTGGATGTGTTGAGTTAATTTAGGGCTGGGGTGTTGATCTGTAAGTGCCTTGGGTGGGGCCTGGATGAGGCTGGTGGACCTATTGGAAAATGTCTTTTGTGTGAAGTGTATCATTGGGCATGTGGAGGTATTATTGATTTGAGAAAATGCTAAGTAACTGATTTACTATCTGAAAAGGAATTTACTATTGGGGAAAGGGAGGGAAGAAGAGACTGAACATAAACTGCACCTATGGATGAGGACAATGGGGGATGGGGAGGGGGCGGAGGGTGGGATGGGAACCTGGTGGAGGGGGGAAGAAATGAGGAACCTTTGTAATAATATGAACAATAAAGATTGATTTAAAAAAAAACAAAACAAAAAAAAAAACAAAGTGTGCTGGGAGCTGATTGGTCAGAGGTGAGGAATGGGTAATAAATCACTTTTTCAGGTCTTGAGAACAGCTTTTCGGGCTGCAAACGGGTTGGAGAGCTGAAAGCATGATATAGATAAAACTTACAGAAGCCACAATGGTGTGGTGGGAGTCAGCTGATCAGATTGGAACAACAATATTTAACCTCAAAAAATATCAAAAGTGATGACACCATTGGTAGCACTGAGGGAGACAGTCAAAGGTCTAATGTACTCAATCTGTCAGGAGCAAGGATGGTTAATTCTCTAATGTGGCCTTTGTTATAAGACAAACGGGACAACGTTGGGCAAGAGTCAAAAGTCTAGAATGTAGTGATGGCTTCTGCATCAGAATCAGAGTTCTTTACTTTGTGCCCATTTCCTGATAGCAAATGTGTTGCCATGTGTGATGGTAATCTGGGCAGTGCAGGCTTGATCAGTAGTTTGATTTTAGATGGTCTCATTAGAGAACAGACCTTTACTGTGGACATTGTGAGTGAATCAGACAGTACCCTCAGCATCCACACTTTATTTCCAGTTTACTAGTATGACCCCCAAAAGAGGTGTCTTTAATCTTCAGTCTGTAGTCTTTCAAGTGGCAGATCAAATGGCAAAGCCATTGGCAACAGCCGCAAGGTCAGTAAAAATATAACAAGTTTCGTTAAAGATTGTCCACACTCATGAGAACAGCCTTAAGTTCTGCCCATTGAGCAGAAGTATGATAGCACTGTAGCTAAGGTTGTCAATCTGGAGTTCTGACAGTCAACCACCAGGACATCACCTATACAGTGGAAGATTTGCATATCACAGGATAAAGGCACTAACACTAACACTCTCTCTCTCTCTCTCTCTCTCTCTCTCTCTCTCTCACACACACACACACACACACACACACACACACACACACACACACGTAACAATTATCAGGGAAGTTGGTCCAGCTAGAACTTCTCTACTTGTGTCAGTGCCCTGAGTGGGAGAATTCTCTGACACTGGATGAGCATTTATAGTACAAGCATTTAACATACCAATTTCCTTATACATTTTCACAATAGTAGATTGAATTGGCACAGAGAGCCCCATTCACAATGTCACTTAACTATTTCCCTTTGCTTGAGAATTTTATTCAAACCCTGTCAGTTGAGTTCAGGTAAATGCAATTTAACCTGCACTTCAGAAGTTAACAGTAGCTCTGGGTAGTTTCAGGCAGGGGAGGAGAGAACAAGGGGTGGGGAGAAGTCTGCAGGGGGCCAGACTAAGGGAAAGGCTGGAGGCTTTTTCTTCTTTGTTTCCTAGCCTCAGG